TTTTACAGTAGTAGGCATGTATCAAAATCAAATGGTTAAATTCTTAAAGATTTTGTTCTGATATTCATTGAAAAATATAGATCTATCATCGAAATAATTCTTGTCTTTTTTATCTTACTTTCTCAAATTTGAATCGTTCTAGTTTTACTTCATGTCTAGTTAACAATTAAAATTATCTTTTTAAAATATATAGACTTCGATGAAATGTATAAATTCTTTTAATTCCATCACGTTTTTTTTTTGTAATAGAGATAATCGCAATAGAAAAATTGCTTCATTCGAAAATTTTCTCTTTAATAGTCAAGATATGATTTTTAGATATATTATTTCAAGTTAGATTGTATGCACATAACGATAGAAATACTTTCCTACGGAAACTTTTTTTTTAAGACTTCCTTTATTAGTACAATATTTTGTAGACAAATAGAGACAATGTCAAATAGTAATCTGTATATTTTATTTTAAGTACTTTTTTTCCTGTCGATATACTGCTGCATTTATATCAGATCATCATAAAAACAATTCATAATAGATGTTGTTTTTTTTAACGTTCTGTTGTCGAAATAAATAGTGATTTTTCTATGTATCAAAAAGTAAATATAATCGTCTTTCTTTCGACATATTCGTATTATTTTTTTTTTCTTTTCTTGTTTTTTATTTGATGAATTATAACATTCTAAAACAAAAATACGAACCAGTTTTTTTTGAACTTAATTCTTTTTGTTTCATACATGTGATGTATTTCATATTTTAACCTGTTAGAAAAACTGTCTTAAAAGCTTTTTTTTTACAAATTAGAAGAAAAAAAAAATTTCGTTCTCTTTTCGCTATCGTGACAAATACGGTGTAGACTCCTGTTCTTTTCATTATCAATCATTTTTCACCTATAGACGACGTCACGTATGTATATATGTATACAATCAACACACGACTGTCAATTACTAATTCAACCATGTGCAGAAATATTCAATGTCATGTTTATTATAAGGATGAATCAAGAGCAATTCTAATTAATGAATAAAATTTTACAATATTGAAAATAATTTTTTTTTTGAAAGAATTGTATTAATAATAAATAACAATTCGTATTATCATATTGTTTTTTAGAAATAATATTAACTGAATTTGATCTCTTTTAGATGATTGAAATATTAAAGATCAAATGACAAGTCGTAATTTAACATCAAATTTTTTGGAATTTCGAAATCGTGCTGCACGTGATCGAAATTTCCATGTTGACGAAAAAGTATGTTTAATTAATAATACTAATTAACTATTCATATCAGAAGAATCTTGACTAAACAATAAAAACAAAAGTCCTAGATAAGAAATAAACTAATTATTCAAGTCTACTCAAATCGTACTGTCTTATTTTAATTTGCGAAATCAACTTTAATAGATGATTAGAAAAACTTTTGCAAGATTCGATTTTATTAAGAATGTTCACATCTTCATAGAATTCATTTTCGTCGTTAAAAAAAATAATTTTTGAAATGAACATACAGAAATGTGCTCTAAGGTTTCTACTTTAAATATCCATTATCAAAGTATTGAATGATTTCTAAGTGATGTAATAAAAGTTTCTGAAATTTTCTATAG